GTTTTGAACTCCTGACCTTGAGAAATTCACCCGCCTCGGCCTTCCAGAGTGCTAGAATTACAGGCGTGAGCCACCGTGCCGGGTCTTCTTAGCTTTTCTTAGCTTGATGGAGTCCTTTCCCTTTTATCTCTAACCACCAATGCAAGCCATTAAGTGTCTCAGGACCAGAGGCAAGTGTCACTTGGATCCCTTGTCACCAAACACAAGGTCGTTACCATTCAATCATCCTGATTCATACCTGGTTGGTTGGCCTACTGAGCTACCTGTTTTTTTTCAAAAATGGTCAACGTGATCCTGCCAACCTCTGGGAGGGAGTTAAAAATCCAGTGTTGCCAACAAACCTGTCAGAAGCAGGTAGGCCAAAGCTCCTTGTAGTATGACCTCTGCAGTGGGTTGGATGGTACCCCCTCCCCACAAAAGATGTGCCCACCTGGAACCTTAGAATGTGTCTTATTTGGCATAAGTGTTCTTGCGGATATCATCAAGGTAAGAATTTTAGGACGAGATCATCCTGGATTACAGTGGGCCCTAAATCCAACAAGAGTCTTTATAAGAGACAGAAAGACAGAGACACAGGGAAGAAGGCCATGTGGGGATGGAGGCAGAGTGGAGTGGCGTGTCTATAAGCCAATGGACACCATGGGTTGTTGGCTTCTGGCAGAAGCTGAGAGAGAGACATAGGATGAATTAGCCCTGAGGACCTCCAGAAGGAACTCTGCCGATACCTTAGTTTTGGACCCCTGGCCTCCAGAACTGTTGTTTTAAGCCACAGACTTTGTTGCAACAGCCTTAGGAAACTAATATACCCTCTTTTACGGCAAGACAAACAGGCCTTCTGTAGCTAACTTTTGCTGGGAGTTACAGATTGTGTATCAGGAACACAGAGTTTCTTACTTTATGAAAGACGGAAGTAATTTTCCTTGACTGCCAGAGAAATTCAGTGTTGTACACCCACCTACGTGGTTTCAAGATACCTTACTTGGCAAACAGGCCCAGAGTTTTGTTGGGGCTTATGGGTCATGGTTGCTGCCACTGGCAGTCAGTCACAGCCACTCAGAATAAGAGCTTTAACTTGCCAATCCACAAGGCATCATTATAGAGTGAAAATTTTGGACATCAGAGGAACTTTCCAGCACTTTATGCACATTCACAGTTCAAACCTATAGCACATTTCAGGACCAATTACACAATTTTACAATAGTTCATATATTGAGTGGGCTGGAGCCTCACTTGGAAAGTTATTTTATCCTTTTTTCTTCTCTCTTCACTGCAAGTGTTTTGCCTATTAGCAACCTTTTTTACAGAAACACAGACCAAGTTTTTTTTTTTTTTTTTTTGAGACAGAGTTTCACTTTATTGCCCCGGCTAGAGTGCCGTGGCTCACAGCAACCTCAAACTCCCAGGCTCAAGCGATCCTCCTGCCTCAGCCTCCCGAGTAGCTGGGACTACAGGCATGCAGCACCACCATGCCCGGCTAATTTTTTCTATATATATTAGTTGGCCAATTAATTTCTTTCTATTTATAGTAGAGACGGGGTCTCGCTCTTGCTCAAGCTGGTTTCGAACTCCTGACCTTGAGCAATCCGCCTGCTTCGGCCTCCCAGAGTGCTAGGATTATAGGTGTGAGCCACCACGCCCAGCCGGCCCAGACCAAGTTTTAACACAGGTACCACGGGGATTATGTGGTAGCTGGAAGTAGAGGGAGTGACTTGCACGGTTAGTACAGCTTTGCACTCACTTTTGGTGTTAAGTGGCCATTAACTCAGCCTCAAACTCACTATTAACACCTGAAGGCACTAATACTACCTCTAGCTGCTGGACTTCCCAATGTTGATCAGCAGGTGATATAGAATATTGTTATTCTATGAGTTCTCAATTATTATTATTATTATTGATTTGCATTTCAAAGATAAAATACAATGCAATATATGCTATAAGAAAGGAAATAAACTATATGCTATGGGGCAGAGAGGTGGCATTGAGATGGTCTGTAACATGGAAAAGGTACATCCAGTAGATTAGTTCTGTACACTCAATGAGGTAATGCATGAACACTTTTCCTGGCACTTAGTATATGTTAACTATCATTATCATTATTTGGTGGACTAAACTGTGTATACTCAGCACTTAGGATGATGTTTATTTATTTATTTATTTATTTTGAGACAGAGTCTCACTCTGTTGCCCCGGCTAGAGTGCCGTAGCATCAGTTTAGCTCACAGCAACGTCAAACTCCTAGGCTCAAGCAATCCTTCTGCCTCAGCCTCCTGAGTAGCTGGGACTACAGGCATTCGCCACCATGCCCGGCTAATTTTTTCTATGTATTTTTAGTTGGCCAATTAATTTCTATTTTTAGTAGAGACAGGGTCTCACTCTTGCTCAGGCTGGTTTCAAACTCCTGACCTTGAGTGATCCACCCGCCTCGGCCTCCCAGAGTGCTAAGATTACAGGCATGAGCCACCACGCCTGGCCAGGATGATGTTTAATATATAGTAAGTACGCAATATATGTATGTTAAATGAATGAATGCACTTGGGAACTCACAGTTCCCATGGTTTATGGACCTTTTCATCTATGTATTCAAAATTGAACTCAATAGCTTCTCCCACAAACCTGTGTTCACGTTTGCAGTCCATCCATTTCCCAAGCTCTAAACCTCAGAGGCATGGCCATTTCTCTGGTCTCTTCAGTATGTTCCTGGCCTATCATCTGCTTCCATGGCTATAGTCACCAATACCTCGGCTACTTCGGTAGCCCCCCAAATGACACCCCATAGTGCAGAACGCTAGGCCCTCAAGGTCTTAAGCCATCCTGCCTCTGCAGCAGCCTCTCTCCAGCCACAGTGGACTTCTCACTATCCCCTAACTACCTCTCATTCAACATTTGTTGAGCACCCATCTGCTGGGCCCTGTGCTAAATTCTGCCAACATAAAGATGAATCACTCACTCCCTTCTACCTAGAAAGCTCTTTGCCCACTTCCTGTCCTCCAAGCCCCTCTGCCCCAGGTGATTAATCATCAGTAGAGTGATTTTCATCGCTCTACTTTGGCACTCTGTGATATTCCAAGATGTTTCATTAGCTGTCCTTCCTGAGTAGATTCTGAGCTCCTCATGGGCAAGGAACCACGCCTCTGGGACAGTACCAATTGCCTGACATGTTAGGTGTTCACGCCACACTAGAGAAAGAGATGAAGGGAGAGAGGACACAGATCTTCTGCCTTTTGCAAGAAGGTAGGAGGCAGGTGTGGCCAGAAACCTGTTAAGCTACTGCTGGAACAGAGTGATAATGGTTACTGTATTCAGCAACAAGTGGGCTTCTTCTGGCCCCTGGGTGGCTTCCCCAGCTGTGTGGCAGGGATTAAAAGTACTAACCCTCTGCACAGTCAAAAATTCATATATAAATTTTGACTCCCCCAAAAATAGCCAGCCTATGGTTGACCCAAAACCTTCTGAGTAACAAATAGCCAATTAACACATATTTTGTATGTTACGTGTATTATATACTATATTCTTATAATATATTAAGACAATCGTAAAGACAAAACATATTTATTATTCATTAAGTAGAAGTGGATCATCATAAAGGTCTTCATCCTTGTCATCTTCACACCAAGTGGGCTGAGGAGGTGGAGGAAGAGAAGGGATTGGTCTTGCCGCCTCCGGGGTGGCCAAGGAGGAAGAAAGTCCACATATGGGTGGACCCATGCAGTTCAAACCCATGTTGTTTGAGGGTCAACTGTGGATTATTAAGAATGAAGTCCTGCCCACAGATCCTGAACAGGGAGCCCTGGATAGAAGATCCCACAACTTCCAGAACTGACTCCACCATTTCAGAGCAGGTTCAAACAGACTCACCACCTCTACAGCCTTAGGTCCCACTCCCATAGCTAAAGGGCTGGAAATCATGGGATGGACTGATAGTGCTGAGCCTCAGGGACCAGTCCAGGCTGCAGATAAACATGAAACAGGTCTGTTAGGAGCAGGACTGTGTGGAATGGCAAAGTATTGGCTGGGATGGAAAAACAAGTAAATTTTTAAGAGGAACAATGGGGAATAAACCAAAGAATTATATAGCTAATTGGAATGGTTAGGAGAGAATGAAAACCACATTTTCCAGATGGCAATATATACCAGATTCAAAGCAATGGAAATGTGGCCAATGGGTGGATTCTGTCATAACTGGAACTTGGCCCTTAGAAGCTGGCACGCACCTTGGAGTCACAGCTACACGAGAGGCTGAGGTGGGAGGAATGCTTGAGCCCAAGAGTTCTAGTCTGTAGTCGTGCCCGTGAATAGCCACTGCACTCCAGCCTGGGCAATATAGCAAGACCCCATCTCTTAAAAACACGCAAAGAACTGGGGCCTGGAGGAAAGCCGCACTCACTACACAGGACAAGGAATGTGGGAAGGTCTCACTGTCGGCAATATGACTCTGGACCAGGGCAGATCTTCTCTAATAGATTTAGGCACAGACAGTGGAGGGTCAGCATCCTAAGCCCCTGAAAGGGGTGGAAGACCTCTGGGCAAGCCAGGTCAGTTCCCCAGGATTACTGAGATAGTAGGACAGGAGTGGAGGGCCAGAGCCACAGCCACACATGGCATGCACACATTGAGACTTTGATCATCTGTCTCCACCCCCTAGCATTCTTCAGGCCAAGTCCCAGAAGGTAAAACTTGAGACCATCTCCTTCCCTGTTGACTAGACTCTGTCATCATCATGGTTGTGGTTAATCAGAGCAAGGAATGGTGCTGCTCTTGCTCACCAAGATTGTCCCATGGCCCCAGAACAGCACAAACAGCTTAAGTATTAGCTACCTCTTTTTTTTCTTTTTGGAGAAAGAGTCTTGCTGTGTCTCCCTGGGCTAGAGTGCAGTGGTGTCATCATACCTCACTGCAACCTCAGACCCCAGGGAACCAGAGCTCTCACATGGCAGCTGACCTCTGAAGGTCTGAGTGTCTTGGGTCCCACACCTCAAACCACTTGAGACAGACACACTAGGCTTTCAATATAAGTTTCCTTTTATTTTGAAATTGAAACAGCGAAATGAAGTGGTTTGTGGCTGAAACAACCTTCACGGGAAAGAGAACTGGAGTGTTTGTTCATCCATCAAAAAAAACAAACTCCAAAGTCTGAGCCAGCTGCCCCACCTCCCCCAACAAAGTCAAGAACAGATTCAAGGATGGGAGGAAGGGTACAACCAAAATCAGGGTGGTGATGGCTGGCAGATTTCCAGTAAAATACAATTTTCAAAGTTGCTGCAATTACAGAAGAAGGTAGCAGTCATTCTTAAAAACAGTCACAAGCAGGAGCCCTCCAGCCCTTCCCGATTTGCATCCAAAAACATAATGTTTCCCTCTCCTGAATAAGTGATGTCCCGGGACTGCTCCCCAATCCACTTTGCCTCAGGGGAGGAGGCTCTTTTGACTCACTCTGGTTTCAGAGATCAGGATCAAGATTCTGGAGAAAGGAAGGAATCCAAGTGGTAGTAAAGGAAGTTTATTCATTACGATAACTCATCATCTGCTAAAATTCATTTTGAACGCGCCTTTACATAGCAGTGGCTTACATAAGGATTTGCACAGAAATGTTACAAGCGGCTCCCCAGCCCCCACAGGAGGAAAGGGTGAGTCAAGACTTAAGCACCCCTAACACACACAGAGCCTTTCTTGGGGGAGGGGGAGGGGGGTGACTGGAGTCACCTGGCCAGGAGGGTGAGGGGAAGACAAGAGCAGGTAGGACTCACTGGCAGGAATGGGGCGGGGGGTGAGACGAGCCAGGGGTGGCTGTGAAAGCTGTACCTGTTAGAAGGGCTAGCAGGTTATCTTAAACAAGTGAAAAAAATTGCCAAAGAGTGAAACTTATTTATGGGGGAAAAAAAAAAGAAAACAGAAGAGTTTGGAAAAGTATGAGAAATTAAAACAATCCAGTGGTCACTGGAAAATGTCTCCCTCTTTTAAAAAATTTTTTTTGGTCTTTTTTTTTTAAATTTTTTGGAAAGTATTTGTAAGGTAATATTTTTTTTTCCTTTGGAAAAAGAAATCTTTTTTCCCCCCCTAACCTAAGCAAGTGGAGTTGTCACTACCTAATTTATCTCTATTGTTTTGCTAAGAGGTAGATAAAACAAAAGTGAAATGGGGCTTCTATGAGGAGGTCCATTAGAGGGTGGGGAGGGGCTGGGGTGGCCCAGTGGAACTCCCCGACTACAAAGACACAAAGACGGCCTAAGCGAGTCCGAAGGACTGGGCCCTCAGACTCTCCCAGGGCAAAGGATCCTATGCCACCTCTTGTCCTTCTAGAGCCACCATCCCCTTGAAGACTGAGAAGGGAAACAGTGGAGGTGGAGGATCTCAAAGAAACCCTGTCAAAGAGGTCTCAGGTCTGGCTTCCCCAGGCTTCGTGACTTTGGGGCTGAGTGGCGGGTTCCAGGCCAAGCCCCAGGTCTCGCTCCAGCCAACCCCCTCTGGCAGAAGGGGGGGCGGCAATTCCTTTCCTCACCACCTGATCGACAAAGCTATAGTAGGTGAGTGAGAGGAAAGGTGGAGGCAAAGGGGGGTGAAACCTGGGCAGGGAAGGCAGAAAGGGGGACCTAATGGCCAGCCCTCCCAACCCAACCGATATGAGGGGGGATCCTGGCAGGCCTGCCTGTTCCCCAAAGACAAACCTTTTGTGGCACAAGCCTCAACTCACTCCTCCTGGCTGGGATTCACACCCTTATGCATGAGTCCCTGCCCTCGGCTCCAATCTTATTGTAAGGATTGAGGTAGTTAATCCATTTATACTCGTAGCTTCCATTACCTGTGGTTAAACACATGCTCCCGAGGAGCTTCCTGCTATTTCCTTTAAGAAAACAAAAATTCTTTTTTCTTTTGTCTTGTCAATCCGGATTCCACCACACTAAGGTGCCAGTATTGGCACCATCAGACTGTGCCCCAAAGCCATGCACGGGCCTGAGGGTCAGGGATGCGGCTCTCACCTCCACGTCCCCCTTCAGACATGAGGCCTCCTCCCTTGTCCTGCACCCTGCAGAGAAGCCTTCCCTATCCAAAGGAAAGAAACTGAAGGTGTCAGCTGGTGTTACTCTAAGTCTGAATACAAGAGAAATGTTCTGCATCTAAATCATTGAGTATTTGTGTAAGGGAAATGGCTTTTATGTCCCCTGCCATTGATGAGGGTTTTTCTTCAATCTTCCTGCAATTACTGTGTCAGGCTGTGCTGTTTTCCTTCTACTGGTGGCCTGTGGTTTGAATGGCAAAGCCACCGGGATCTCCCCATAAACACTTCAGGGGAAAGAAAGGAGACCCCCCCCTCCTCCAGGACAGGCAGGAGGAAGGGGCTGCCTAGAGGCATCAGCTTCTCTGGAGGAGCAGGAAGGCTGGAGCGGCCCTCTGGGGCTCTGTGAGGTAGTTATGCAGCACTGCTGGTTCCCAGTTTGGCAGAGGGTATGTCTGGGGTGGGAGGAGGGGAAGGCACCCTTGAGAGCTAACTGAGGCCCCTCCTCACTGCCCGTCTGCCAGGCCTGAAGGGAACCGCGCGCCATCTCTGCAGTGGGGGCAGGGGACCGAGTAGTCCCGCAAGGGGGAGCCATTTGGAGCCCCAAACTTTCCCCCCTTCCCCAAAGTGCAACCAGGAGCCAACGGACCCGGACCCTTTTCTGGGCTTCCCTAGCCAAGTCCCCTACAAGCCTCGGGAGGGGAGGGCCCCATCCTTAGCTCATGTCACTTCCAGGAGCCCTTCCCCTCCGACAGCCCAGGTGTGTCAGAAGCCGGCTGTCGCTCTGATTCAGAAACAGCCTCTCTTTGGCACAGAGGAAAACAGACACAGAGAACCAACTGGAGTGTCCCCCTCCAGTGTCCTCTGGGTTTTACATGGGGTCTTTTCTGCCAATAGCGAGGCATAAGGAAGAGAATAGCTCCCAACTGCCCCCAGAAGTGGAGAGCTCAAGGAAAAGGGAAAAAAGATTGGTACGGACTGGGAGGAGGGGAGGAAAGAGAGAAAAAGGTGATGCAACTCCCTGTCCTTACAAATGGCTCTCTCCTGCCCAGACCCCTCCCAGGAGCCGAGTGTCCATGACCCAAACTGCAAAAGGCAACCAGACCCTAGAGGGGATTAAAGCCATCTGGTGTAACTGGCAGATGCAGCTTCAAAGTAAGTCAGTGAATCAAACCATTTTGGTTTTCTTTGTATTTCCAAGAATTCAAAAATATATCTTAAAGAGATGGTCCTTTCTTAAAAATATATATGTAGCACACATACACACATATATATCTTAGAGCACAGAAATGGGCTTTTTGTTGTTTTTTTTTTCCAAGTCGTTTTTCTCAAATCATCCAAATCTCCCAAGTGCTTTTCACAATAGCTCTCGTTATCTCACCCTGGATGGGGAAATGGAGGTGCTGAATAGGAGGGCGAGGCGCTGCCCAAGACCTAGCCTTCGAGCAAAGGATGCCTGCCAAGGCAGGCCCTTCCTCCCGCTAACCTTTAGCTAACCTTTAATCACCAAACCGTATTCCTTTTGCTTCCTGGTAGTACAACTTCCACGATTTTCCTGCTGGGCAAAAATCAGCCATGAGTGGAGCCTTGCCTAATGCAAGCAAGTGAAGTTTTCTAGCCCCGGGCCCCACACTTCCTGGTCTTTTCTGCTTGCCCAAACAGCCAAAGGAAAAGGACTCGGGCTTAAGGTGTGAAGGAAGCAGGTCCCCAAGGAAACTGAACACTGCAACAATCACATTTCAGGTACTGTGGGATTTTTTTTCTTTCTGATGATGATAGTTTGAACCAGATATCAAAGCATGCTTGCTGCTGGAAATTCGCTTTAAATCACTAAATGGCCGATGTCTGAATGTCATGTGCTTCATCTTGGGATAAAGCATATAGAGCCAGAGATGGAACATTGGGAGACCCTTATTGTGGTTGGGACAGGTGGGGAGGCTTAATTCTACTGGCCTCATAGGATCCCTAAATGCTTTCCTGCTTCTCCTCTCTTTGGGCCAGTTAGTTCTGGGGGCTGCAACGGAACATCATAGGGAGAAAGTGGTAACAAGGCAGGAACCTGCCCCAGTCTCGTCCCCATATCCCCTGCCCCTCCTTGCCACCCACCACCACCCTAAATCAAGAATTCCCTAAGTTTGGGTCCACTTTTAAAAATCAATCTAAAGAAGACAGGGAGACAGAAGGGGTGCAGTTATCTGAGTGTCTGCTTGCCCCTTGGCTTATGGATATAGACTAAGAAGAAGTTGAGATGGAACTGAAATGAAACATTGTAATAACAAAAAAATGAAAAGCATTGCAATGACAAACCAGGTGGACCTCCCTGAGGGTGAGAGGGTGGCCTTGTCTTTCTTCCATGAACAGAATCTTGGCTCCCATATTTTTAGACGGAGAAAAATAGATTTTTTAAAAGGGTATATTTTTTCTAGTTATTTCTCTCCTCGATAAAACGGAGGCAATATTTTTTAAAATATCTCAACAGCACCACTGGTGGGAAAAACCGGCTGGCATGCTGTTTAACCAAAGGAGGAAAGAGGGGCGTCCAAGGGCCAATTGGTTGTTGGACATAGTTTTTGACCACTGAGGGCCCACAGCTCTGCTAGGCCTTTTAATCCTACTGGGTAGGATGTTCCAGCAGGGGCCAGCAGCATGGGGCTCTAGAAGCCAGAGATCAGAGCCAGGCAAGGCTCTGGGCTCTACCCCTCTGGGCTCTCCCAGACCTGGGCCTCCCTCTCAGCTCCAGCCTCTTCCCAAGAGGCCAGCCCCCACTGCCTTTCCCACCGGTCCTGTTCTCCATAGAGAGTTCCTAAAGGGTTAGCTGGCTCATGTAAGAAATTATGAAACATAACTTTCTCATTTTTTTCTTTTCATTAAAAAAATAAAATATTCAAGACTATCAGCTTCTCTTTTGCTTTGCTTTTCTTTTTATATAAAATATCAGCAAGCTGCAAAAAGAAAAAAATCAAAAAAAATTTTTTTTTCAAAAATGGGGTTGGGGGAACAAAAAGGAAAATAAATGCTGAGGTAACTTCATACCTTGAGGTAGTTTACTTGGCACACAGCATTGCCTGACTCCGCCCACATGTCGTGGTTGTCTTGTTGTTATTGTTGTTGCAATGTTGGGAGGGAGGGGAACTCCACGCATGGGGTTTTCCACGTGTAGAGAGAGGCCTTCCTCCCTTCCCAGCACCCTTGCTATTATTGTCCAGGGAAGCTAAAGTGCATTACCTGGCTAATATGCATTGTCAATCAGTATATTAGGAGGGGAGGCCTAACCTCATTTAACTGATGGCTGCTGTCCTCCATAAGGGCTAAACTTCCAACGGATCTTATGAGCCTGGTAAATTAATAAATTAAGCTTATTTACTCCTTTGTGTATAATGCTGCTGGTATTCTGAATTTTGTTTAGACACATTTTTCATCATGCCAATAAATGAATCATGGAGGCAGAAGCCATCGATTAAATATTCCTCTAGAATACAAAAACAGAAGCAAGTATTCTACAATTTACTAAATTTGCCAGATGATGGACTTTAGCTTTATGGGGAGCTCAGGGTTGGCTTCCAAGTCCCACCACCACCAAGGAAACAGTGCCATGGCTGAGTGCCCAACAAGCCCTGCCTCTGGGAACCAGCCCTCATGGGAGCAAATGGGCTGGCATGAGGGCACCATGGCAGCCTTTGGGGCCACTCAAGTCCTCCATGGAACTGAGACTTTATCAAGGGGAGTCGGTTTCCCCTTCCCAGTGCTCATATCCAATCATTAAAATAGACTTTAAAAAAATATAAAATCCGCCTGAGAATGATGGGAATCAGGGACAGTGGTCAGCTCCTACCCTGTGAGCAATCAACACCACCTACGTGCACCTGGACATGACATGGGACCTGCATGGGCAGAGACGTGACTGTGGTGGAGAAGCCCCAGAAGAGTGGGGAATTTCACTTGTGCCAATTTTTCAAGATGGTGACCTGAAATAGATCAGCTACCAGGGCACTCCTTTTAAACGTGGATTATGACATATATTTTAAACATCTTTCTCCCCATTTCTTCCCCTTCCTTATTACTTACTGCACCTACTGACTGGTTGGAGAGGGATTGGAATTAAACAACAGATTCGGATGGGTCTTCTCCCTTGAGTCGATACAGTAAGCAAAGCAATGCATTTTTCCTGGTAGCAGTAAAGATAAAACAACATAGGAAGAGGTGATGTCAGCGCATGAGAATGGAGGTATTTTAATCAATTAACCAAGCAGGGGAAAGAAGGCTGGAAAGATTTTAGAGTCAAGAAAGAAACTATCCTTTGATGCTGATCAAACCACCCCTCTGTATGTTTTAAAAACCTTAAGGAAATTTTATTTCTCTTCCCACTGGAGTCTGACCTACCCTCTTGGTGGGGCCTGGAGAACTTCCTTAAATAATCCACGTTTAAAAGCACCCTGAGCTAGAATTTCAATGGTGACACCCCGAGGGGTGGGCAGTGTTGGGCCAATTGGTTGGGCATCTGGGGCGCAGAGATCAGGGTTCCTCACTGAACATCTTTCTCAAGCAAGTGGGCAAACCTGATCTACAGCCCAGCCCCGGTGTCCCGGATTCCCACTCATTCTCAGGCCTGCCGGGGAGAGTGCGCTCTCCATTGCTGCCCATTGTCCTGGACACGATGGGATGGGATGGGGCCGGTCACTTCCTCCGTGCCTGGGCCTGGTTACTCTGTCCCTTCTGGTGCTGCTGCTTAACCTGGGCCAGGATGTCTCGGATCTTTCGCTGAGCCATCTGCAGCAAGAACAGGCAAGAGGGAGGGTGTGAGGACCTCCAAGGAGACAGCCTTTGGCAGGGAGAGAGGCCATTGGGATCTGGGTGCCGGCAACAACAGAGCAGGTACACAGGACACAGAAGAAAGAGGAAAAGTGAGGGTAAGAGCGACCTTAAGTTTCTTTGCCTCCGACAGAGCTGGAGTATCCACTGGACAATACAGCAAGGATGGGGGGCATGGGGGCGGCAGGGGTCAGAGAGACAGTAGCATAGGCCCACCATCGAAATCTAAAATGTGACAAAGTCAACACATGTTACTAAGCCCAAATGGAACACCTAGAGTTTCTAGACATTAGCATATTAAATGTTGTACAGAGTCATAAATAAGGAGAGGTCATCACAAATCCACTATTCATGTAACTACCCCAGGGAGGGGAACAAATACAATGCCCAGCTATGATGTAAGCTCCACTGAGAAAATGGATGAAATACCAAAGGATCGGGGTCTTTAACTCTCCTTCTTAAAAGTTTTTGCCCTATGACTAAAGTTTACAAGGGAAATCAACTGCAAAATGGGATTCAGTTCAGAAAATTCACCTCAATGTCTTTGCTCTATAAATTGGTGCTTTAAACTGTGTACTACAACAGTGCTGGGCATTCCAACACACTCTATGTGTTAGATACTATTATTGTACTTTATTAATACTCCTCAAAGAGTTATCAGAGAAAGTTACTTATCTAAGGTCATTCAGCAGATAGACTGTGTGGGTTTGAGCTCAAGCCCTCTGCCTCTAAAACCCCCATTTGTGATGCTGCGCACATGGGCATGGGAGCCAGGTTCTGCCCTGGATTGCCTGAGCAGCCTCGAGTGGCCACCAAAGGACTTGGTGATCCTCTCTGAACTGTAGGAAGTGCATTCAACAGTCTCCAAAGTTTCTTTCCAGTTTTAGTACTGGGGAGTTTAGATCTTAAGAAAACCCTATTAGCTGTCAATCACCCTTTCCCTGGCCTCATTAGGGTTCAGCAAAATTTGAACCTGATATTGGCCTTTCCTTCCAGGCTCTAGAGTCAGTCTCCATTGCTGGGCAGTGATAAGTTCTAGAAAGAGGAAAGGAGGAAGAACAGAAACCAGAGAGTGAACAGTCATTCTGGGAACAGCAAAGGGACTGCATCTGAAAAATGCAATCCACAGTGTCATTAGTGTTATTATTCCAAGATCAAGACTGGTGATAGATAATACCAATTTCCTTTCATATCCACGTTAACACAGGTTGAGAAAACTAAGGTAGACAAAAGGAAAGACCATTAATAAAAAGTGATAACATATATGAAGCTATATATAATGTATACCATACATGAAAATTGTTAGAGAACATTCCCTAGAGAGTCTTAAGAGGGTGTAAGTCATCTACTCATCCTACTCCTGCACCTAAAAGAAGAGAATGACCCAGCCCAGAGGCAGGCAGATATGGTCAAAGACACAGGACTTGTCACAGTCCTGCAGATCAACCCTGGAGATCGTTCTCTTGCCCCTTGGGCCTGCAGTCCCCCACAACAGGGAACACCATATGTACCTGGCTGGCATAGAAATGTCCGATGATTTTCACGATGACCTGGTCGTTCTCATCAGGGGTCTGGTCTCTTGGCACAACCACCTCAGCAGCTGTTAAATTCTGCAACTCATTCACCTGGGGATGGCCAGAGAGAAGCTCAGGGTGCCATCAACAAGCATGGGTGGGGGTGGAGGGAGGAGCAGGGGGCAGGTGACTAGTGGGTAGAAACTGGGAGAGTCAGGAGATGACTTAGAAGAATTAAGTCAATGGGCAAATCAGGAGTCCTAAGGTTGAGCAGGGCTGGGAGCAGCAGGCCAGAGCAGAGCCACTGGGTTTGGAGACCAAGGTCCAGGGCTTTCAACTGGCCCCAATGGCTCACCGTTTTGCCACCTTTGCCAATGACCCGGCCAGCTGCTGAGGCTGGTACCCGTATATGGGTCTCCAGCTTTACTTCCTCCTTGGGACCAAAGAAGTTCTCTTCCTTGAGTTTGCCATAGATTCTTCCCTGAGCCTGGAAAGAGAAGTTAATTGTCAATGAGCCATGTATCTGTGACAAAAGGAAAGAGCAGTAAACAGCCAGTGCAGCCTCCAGGATCCGGCCCATCTTTCTTCGGCCCATAGGCCCACCTCATCCTAGGTGGGTCTACCATCTAAGGCATGCGATAGAAAAGGCTCAGCTTGGGTGGGCAGCCTGTCTATTTGTAATACTAGAGGCCTTGCAGGGGAGATTATATGAGTTATGAGTAACTGACTAAATACTTCCCAGAGGAAAAAAAATATTTAGCAGAGGAATATAATTCACAAGCTACAAATCAGACCTACGGGGTCTGGAATGGCTGCGTTTATCTGGATATGGCATCCACTAGCATTTCAAGGTACACAGAAAGCAGGCCTGCCTGACACTGCACAGTGGCCTAGAGAGCTGTCCCAGTCCTCTATCCTCACAAAGTCAGGTTAAGTGTTGGCTCTGGCTATCTGACCAGAAGTTCAAGAAGCTAAGGATGTAGCAGGGACATAAAGGAGAGAAAGGGGCCAGGCATGGTGGCTCACGCCTGTAATTTTAGCACTCTGGGAGGCCAAGGTGGGAGGATCACTCAAGGTCAGGAGTTCGAAACCAGCCTGAGCAAGAGTCAGACCCCGTCTCTACTAAAAATAGAAAGAAATTAATTGGCCAAATAAATACATATAGGAAAAAAAAAGAAAAAGAAAAGGAATTTGACATCAAATGCCTTCCATAGTAACTAAGGCAGAGTGCAAAGAAACAGCCCTCGGACTTCCTTCTTTCCCACAATTCGTGTTGACCATCAAGAAGTGATAAAGGGAAGTGGAAGTCCAAAGAACTGAGTTTGATGCCAACTTGCAAGTAGCTGTGCTGCCCTGTATCCTGCAAGGAAGGCTTAAAGATGTGCCGAGGATTTGACAGTTAATGGGAAATTGCCCCAGCCCTTTTCCCGCACTCAGGGAAAGTACCCAACCTCAATTCCCTGGTATACAGCTTGGAAAAACAAGAAAGATCAAAACCTTGAATTGGGCTTCTGGTGGTCCAGTGATGATAACCATACGAACTTTGGAGTCGGGGGTTTCAGGTGGTGCAATCTACAAAGCAAGCAACTGGTCAAAGAGGGACCAAAGAGACCCCTGGCATCTCCACTTCCTCCAGTTCCCTACCACCACCCCTTATTCCCACTGCCCATTCTGAAGACTGGGGGAGGGAAGAACCAAGACCCTGAAGCCCAAGTCACTGCCCCCACACACCAGCTATTAGGAGGGCAGAGGGCAGTTAGAAGGACTTGCTCCAGAGACAGTGTCTATACACAGGGCCTCCTCCACCCCTCTTTCCCCAATCTCTTGGGAGCCATCCATGGAGTCAAGAGTCAGACACAGATGAGATGGGGAGGGCAGTAACTGCACCTCCAGTTGGGAAACAAGCACAGCTTTTGCCCCAAGCTTTTAAGACCACTGAAACAACTGTATTTAGGTTTGTGAAATTTAAAAACACCTTCGTTTCACTGTAACAAATTCTCCCTTCTCTCTCCCCTGACCCTGGCCAGGGAAGCTGAGAGACGACTAACACTTAAACCAGTGTTAAACTGTGTGAGGCAGGGGCTTTGGCTGCATGGTTTCACAGCATTGTACTGACGAGGACAGTGTGGCTCAGGTCACACGGCTTACTGGGGTGTGACATGGTGGGTTGGGATTTGAACCCAGGTCAGTGTGAGGCATGTCCAAAGCTTTCCTTCTGTGCTACCACTCTGCCTCCTGCCTGAAAACCCAGAGGCACTGAAGGCATCCCATGGAGGCCAAGCAAGGTCAAAAGCAGAGAGGACTGACATTGCTCAAGGAAAGATGCAAATTCTCAAGACCATGGGAATCTGGGCGCAGACACAGAGGGTGGAAGCGGAGCCCCCTCCCATCCCAAACCCACAGAGCAGGTCACCTTGATGGAGGCGCTGGCGAACCGCGACAGCTGTTTGATGTGCTGCCCCTTCTTGCCGATGATGGCGCCCACCGCCTGGGCAGGAATGAACACCTGCACCATCTCCTGCTCGGGAGCCTGCTGCCAGGACAGAGCATGCTATTATTACCAATGGGACTGAGGGGCAGGGCCCAGAAACCCCTCCACTCCCCTGGCTTGCATCCTTGTGAAGGAAGGGGTACAGGCAACCACCTGCCACCCAGGCTGCCAAGGGATGCTGTGAGCTCCCCACCTTTACCTCTTCCCATGCCCAGCAGAGTGCGGGGGAACACAGCTGCCAGCACTCTGCAGTACCCCACGCCCTCCTCTGCACAACTGACACTTGGGACAGTGGCTGGGAGGAATGCAGAGGAGGGATGTCCCCAAGAACTGCACCCCCCTTTCCCTGTAAACTTCCCAAGCATCAGACTCCCATGGGGATTTGGACCCCTCGAGGGAGGCCACTGCAGGCCCAGCATTCCCCTTTATGGAGACCTTCCACCTACCATAAAGGAGCTATAGGGAGCCGCTCCAGTAACGCTGCTGGGAGGTGGTGGGACTGCACTGGATGAGGCTGGGAAAAGCCCTACAGCAGCCAGGTTGAGGCCAGGGATCAAGTGAGACTGCAGCTGAGGAAGAAAAGTGAGGAGACGGGGGCTCAGCATGATAGGACCTTGTGGTCCCTTGGAGGTAGCTGTGGCTGTGGCCCTAGAAGAGTGGGCCAAAAACCTGACGATGACATGCTTTTGCACAAAAACCTGCCTGACCTTATGCTTGCATACACGCCCACATGCACACAGGTGAGGAGCGGTGAGCGATGGGATGTTCCTACAGAACTAGCTCCCACAACCGGAGAAGCCCACGCGCTGTACACCCTCAGCAGTCCTTCCTCTGACTGCTCAGTCCACTCTGACTGAGACAGACTAAAGACGCATGACCCTATCACGTGACTGATGCCCCTGCATGAGAAGGAGGGGCAGAGACATAGCGCTATTTCACTTCTAGCACTCAGTGGTTCTGAACCTTTTTGGTCGTGCACCCCATCCTCACTTCTCTTTAAAAAAAATCAGATGAGCCGGGCCCAGCAGCTCACACCTATAGTCTAAGCACTTTGGGAGGCTAAGGTAGAAGGACCCTTGAGACCAGGAGTTCAAGACCAGCCTAGACAACATAGTGAGACCCTCGTCTCTACAAAAAAAAATGGAAAAATTAGCCGGGCACGTGGCGACAGCAGGCTTACAGTCCCAGCTACTCAGGAGGCTGAGGCAGGAGGATCGTCTGCCACCCTGCGCCCACAAGCTGCTGTTGCTCAGACTCGGGAAAGGGCAAGCCATGCAGCACTCACGCTCATGGCGGCCACATCATTCTCGTAGGCCTCCCGAACTTTCTTCATGATTTCCTGCTCAGCCCTGCAGCAGTTCTCGATGGCCCCCTTCACAGTGATGGTCCTCTCAGGGTTGTAGAGGGTGAGGTCCTGCAACCTGGAGGAAGAGCAGAGGGGTGTCAGCCTTTCGCTGGCAGGCCAGGACCAGGCCAGAGCCCAACTGGGTCACAGGTCTCCAACTTTTGCATAACTCTCTATCTCCAGCCTTCTGTGTCCCCAGTTTGTAACCAGGGCAGGGAGTGAGGTGCAGAGTGGTGAAAATACCCAACTGAGACCCCCTCCCTTGGCAACAAATCCAGTCAGATGGGATATGCTGCTGATCAAGCAGGAAGGAGGACTGTGCCACCAAGTCTCCCCATTGGCTCTATGCAATTCTGCGTCTTGCACCTTTCTGGAAGAGAACCATTGCTTTGCCCACAGGCTAGTCTTTGATGAAATGAGGCACGGTGTGTGCAGAGGCAGCCCACAACACAGGCAGAAAGGGACTGAGGTTGGGCCACTTCTCATCGTAGCAGACAGGCCTGAAACCCTAAAGGCCTAGCTTCTAGCTACAGGCTGCCCTCGCGATGCAGAGGAAAGAGGCTGTGACGTAGCAGGAAAAGCCTGTAGAGGCAGTCCCCTACAACACCCCCACAACCCACACGGCAATGGGAACGGGTGAGCTCCAACCCTTAGGGAGAGAAATGCTCTTGGCCAAGTGCAGTGGCTCAGCCTATAATCCTAGCACTCTTGAGAAGCCAAGGTGGGAGGATTGGTGAGCCCAGGAGTTTGAGACTATCCTAAACAAGGGTGAGACCCCGCTTCTACAAAAAAATATAAAAATTAGCTGGGTATAGTGGTGGACACCTATATATAGTCCCAGCTATTCAGGAGGCTGAGGCAGGAGAATTGCTCGAGCCCAGGAGTTTGAGGTTGCAACGGAACTATGATGATACCACTGCAACCTAGGCCAGGCAACAGAGCAAGACTCTGGCTCAAAATAAAGAAAAGAAAAAGAAAAATGCTTTTTTACCACTTCTTTAACTATTTTTATTTCGGCATATTATGGGGGTATGGATTTTAAGGTTTTAATAAATGCCCTTTCTTCCCCTCCCCCCACAAGTCTGAGTTTCCAGCATGACTATCCCCCAGATGGTGCACATCTCACTCATTATGTATGTATATACCCGCCCCCTTTAACTATTTTTCTTCAACAGACAGGAAACAGCACCTAACTTAAGGGGGCATAACACGCTGCCAACCCCGGGCCACCGTGCGTCCCCCACCCACATGGACAGACATGAAAGGAAGCCTTACGAAGAGATGGTGATTTTTGTCTCTGTGTCCTGCTCCACCTTCTTCAGGTTACGCCCTTCCTTGCCAATGAGACGCCCTACAAAGTTATTGTGGGCCAGGATCTTCAGAGGGAACTCGTCAGCCCTGGGGAAGACAGAGAAGAGCGCTTTGAACAGCAGGAGATGTGGAGGCACAGCCACCATGGACCCCAGAGTGACAAAAATCAGCAGATGGTGGCTGCTTAGTGATAAGGGAATTGGGGACGGAGGGGGATGGCCAAGGAGCACAAGGACATATTCTTTATTGTGATGGTGGTTTTTATAGATATGTAACTCATCCCACAGTACACTTTTAAAATGTGTGTGATTGATTGTACATCAATTAAACATCAACGGCCGGGCGCGGTGGCTCACGCCTGTAATCCTAGCACTCTGGGAGGCCGAGGCGGGCGGATTGCTCGAGGTCAGGAGTTCGAAACCAGCCTGAGCAAGAGCCAGACCCTGTCTCTACTATAAATAGAAAGAAATTAATTGGCCAACTAATATATATAGAAAAAATTAGCCGGGCATGGTGGCACATGCCTGTAGTCCCAGCTACTTGGGAGGCTGAGGCTGCAGGATTGCTTGAACCCAAGAGTTTGAGGTTGCCATGAGCTAGGCTGATGCCACAAGCCACAACACTCACTCTAGCCTGGGCAACAAAGGGAAACTCTGTCTCAAAAAATAAATAAATATAAACATCGATAAAGCTATTTTTTTTAAAGGACAAGTGTGCAAAGGAACATGTATAAGCAGATTCTTTGCATCACTGTTTCTTTTTCCCCTAGTTTGTATAAGCCTGCAGCATCACTATTTTCTCTAAGGAAAATTTTAAGGCAATCCAAATACCTATCAAGAAATCCAGGGATTGGTTAAATGAACTAAGAACAGCCATATAACTGTGGAATTCTATGCAGCTATAAGAATGAGGTATATTAACACGTACTGAGACAAGTGCTGATACAGAGAATAAAAAAAGCATAGAATAGCATGTTTGGTATGATCCCCTCAGAGGTATGCTCGAATGTGCACACACACAAACTCACACACCCTTGTTAGTGCATAGAATTTCTAGGTTATACAAGAAGAGTAAGGAGAAGGAGGGCATTCTCAGTTTATATTCTTTTATACAATTTCTGCCTATATCTCCTGTATCTCTATATTACTGGTATTAACAAGTTTGAGGGGAGGGGGACTGGCAGTCCCCGAAGATGCAAGGAAAGCTGGAGCTTACGTTTTGGTGTCCTTTGCTTCTTTGTGCATTATCTCCAAGATCATCTTACAGGCAGAGGAGCAGCCCTCGGGGGTTGAGTGGACGCTGATGGCTTTTTCAGCTGCACCTGCGTTCTCCTTCCTATGCACGTCTATCCTGAGGACCACAAGGACAACACTGGTTAGATGTCCCTGGGGGCACCAGTTCTTCAGGCTCTCCCCATCTCTCCTCTATCAAAGACATAAAACCTGCTCTTCTGAGAACAAGGCTGATTGAGTGCAGATTCAGGAAGGACAATGGGCCAGAGAAATATGACCAGTCTGCTGCTCTGGATTCTGTTGCAGTCCAGCACTGTCTCAGTCTGTCACAGAGGCAGGCTGCAGTCCCCAACCCCCAGGCTGAGGTCCAGTACTAGACCATGGCCTGTTAGGAAACAGGCAGCGCATCACCATCTGAGCTCTGCAGCACCTTCCCCCAACCCACAACACCCCATCCCCCCATCCCTGGTCTGTGTGATTGTCTTTCATGAATCTGGTCCCTGGTTCCAAACAGGTTGGGGACCACGGGATGCAGTGGTGGGGATTACCAGCCCACAGCTCTAAAGCTACATGTCCCCTTAAATTCTACATGTATCCCTTGAAACAAATATAAAGGGAAGATACACTGTTCTAAACTAAAACTAAATATAAATGGGACTTATCATGAATAAGGGCATAATGACCCTTCTTGCTAACAAGAGTGCATGGCCCAACCACTGCGACCAGTGTCACAGCCCAGACCCATGCTCCCTCCCCATCTACCCACCCTTATCTAGGAGGCTGAGATTGCAAGCTATGACTCCTGAATGTTCCATGCAACATTTCCTAGGAGCAAAATGACAATGCCCCCAGCATGCTTCCAAGAGCCTCCCCAGGTACCAGCCACAGTCCCCGGCACCCAGCCTCCATTCCCCAAGTACTCACTTGGACTGGGTCTGTTTAGTGATGTTGCGGATGGTGGCCCCTTCCTTGCCAATGATGGCACCCACATACTGGGTGGGCACCAGGAGCCGAAGGGGGATGTCCACCTGCTGCTGTTTGGTTTGGGCCCCCGCTGCCACAGGTGAGCCCTGGCGGGGCTGACCCCGGGAGCCAAAGCCTCCTCGGCGCCCGTTCTCAGGACCCTGTGCGATCTGCTCATCGGGAATGTAGGAGACCTTTAGGGCATGGTTCTCCAACTGGTGGCCATTCAGCTTCATGATGGCTCTGGGGATAGAATGAGTCTACCGGTCATGCCTATCCAAGCCAATAACATCAGATGCTCTCCTCTGGCAAAGCACTCTACAGACTTATAACATGGAACACACTCAAGAAAGGGAGAAAACCACCTGTCCACCACCCCCACCTCCAAAGACCTTCCAGTTTAAATGGCATCAAAGACATCAAGGAAAAGCAAATATAGTGATTCCTGACATTTGGTTGGGATTTATTGTTCACAAAAGCTTTCCATTTAGATAATCAGAGAAATAGGCTCCCAATCCAATAGGGAGTATAGGATGCTCCCAGTCTAAAAAGGAAGACCAAACCATAGATCTCAAAGATCTCCCGTGCCAGTTGGAGAGCATACCAGGTACCTGAAGGGGCTTGGCAAAGCTGACACATACACCTTCTGGATTGTGGAGTCCTACCCAAAGTGCTAACTACTACAAATCCTAATCTTACATTAGGTTATTAAGTATGAAATGTCCAATTTCCTTAAGTACTACAGACCAGGTTGAATATTGGCTGACTTTGCACTCGCACACTTCTTGTTTTATTTTTATCCTAAAGGCACATCCTCATTTTTTCAAACACACAGTTTGGCTTGTGATTATCTTCAAATGTTTTTTTACAGCAATGTTTGTGAAACACAGACAAGTAAAAAATTCTTGTTATTTTCGAGTATGAGTTCCTTTGTGGAACCAATGCCGCACAGACAGCTCAAAATACCAATAAAGTGTTTGGGAAGGATGCAGCTAATGAATGCACAGTATGTCGATGGTCTGAGAAGTTCCATTCTGGTGACTTTAATCTTGAAAATGAGCCACTTGGGTGATCTGAGACCAAGGTGGATGATGATGAGCAGGAAGCTGTAGTGGATGTGAATCCGTCTCAACCTACCCATGAATTAGCAGCAAGGTTGGACATTACTATTCCAACAATATTGGACCATTTGAAATACGTAAAGAATCTGGATAGGCCGGACGCGGTGGCTCAAGCCTGTAATCCTAGCACTCTGGCAGCCCGAGGCGGGTGATCCCTCAAGGTCAAGAGTTCAAAACCAGCATGAGCAAGAGCAAGACCCCGTCTCTACTAAAAATAGAAACAAATTAATTGGCCAACTAAAAGTATATATAGAAAAAACTAGCCGGGCCTGGCGGTGCATGCCTGTAGTCCCAGCTACTTGGGAGACTGAGGCAGGAGGATCGCTTGAGTCCAGGAGTTTGAGGTTGCTGTGAGCTAGGCTGATGCCACAGCACTCTAGCCCGGGAACAGAGCAAGATTCTGTCTCCAAAAAAAAAAAAAAGAATCTGGATAGATGGGTACCACATGAACTAAAAGAGCATCAGAAAAGAAATCATCTCAAAGCTTGACTTTCTTTGCTGTCACAACATAAAGGCGAACCATTTCTACACCATATTGTTATGTGTGAGGAAAACGGGATTCTTTTTTTGACAATCAGTCTTAGGCACAATGGTTGGATAAAGATGAAGTGTCAAACACAGTCCAAAACCAAATATTCATCAAAAAAAGCTAATGGTGTCTGTATGGTGGCCCAGTGCTGGGATTATCCACAATAGCTTCATGAAACATGGTCAATCCATTACATCAGATGTCTGCTGCAACCGACTGGATGAAATAATGAGGATGCTTGTGATCAAGCACCGAGATTGGTCAATAGAGACTGGCCAATCCTCTAGCAAGACAATATTCAACCAAATGTCACACAAACAATGCTGCTGAAATTACAGAGGCTGGACTTGGACACTCTCTGTCATCCACTGTATTCACCAGACCTTGCATCAACTGACTACCACCACTGCTTCTTCCAGTTTTGGGACCAATTCTTGCAAGGAAAAATATTCAATTCTCAACAGCTGTGGAAAACACCTTTCATGATTTCATTGCCACTCAATCTCCAGGCCTCTTCACTGCTGGCATAAACAAGCTACTGTTAGGATGGCAAAACTGTGTTGATAGTTTAGGTGCATACTTGGATTAACTGTACAGCTTCAGCTGGGTGCGGTGGCTCATGCCTATAATCCTAGCACTCTGGGAGGCTGAGGTGGGAGGATTGCTCAAGGTCAGGAGTTCAAAACCAGCCTGAGCAAGAGCAAGACCCCATCTCTACTAAAAATAGAAAGAAATTAACTGGCTAACTAAAAATACATAGAAAAAATTAGCCAGGCATGGTGGCGCATGTCTGTAGTCCCAGCTACTTGGGAGACTGAGGCAGAAGGATTGCTTGAGCCCAAGAGTTTGAGGTTGCTGTGAGCTAGGCTGATGCCACGGCACTCTAGCCCAGGCAACACAGTGAGGCTCTGTCTCAAAAAAAAAAATGTACCGCTTCTTCTTTAAGATATAATAAACAAAATTTTTGATTAGAAATCAGACATTTCATATTTAATGGCCTAATAGCTAATGAAAACAAGGTCAAAAGAGATTAAAATATATTAATATGTATGTAGAATCCAAATGTTAATCCTGCCCTGCCATAACCTAATGAAATGCAGGACAAAAATATTCAATTAAGTTAGGGCACCAGTATTGCAATCTTAACTCCATTGCTCACTAGTTACATGAACTGGGCAACTCACAACTTAGTCAAGACCTAAGTCTCATCAGCTATAAAGTGGAAAATTGATATTAATACCTGTACCCTGCCTATCTTATGGCTAGTACATTTAGGCCTGTGATCCATATTGAACTGTGTGTATGGTGTTATGGTAGGGGATTCAATTCATCTTTTTACCTGTGAATATCATTAAAGTGCCCCAGTACCATTTATTGAAAAGACTGCTTCTTTCCCATTGAACTTTCTTAGCATGTTTGTTTAAAGAAGAAAAAAAACCCACCCAGTTGATCATAAATGTAAGGCCTTATTTCTAGACTCTCAATTCTGTACCATTGATCTATAGGTCTATTCTGATGTGACTACCACATTGATTTGATTACCATAGATTTGAATTAAGTTTTCAAATCTAGAAGTTAGTGTCTTCTAATTCAACATTTTTATGGTTATTCTGGGTCCCTTGGATTACTTCACACTGAATTTTAGCATCAGCTTATCAGTTTCAGGCCTCCCAGAGTGCAAGGATTATAGGCATGAGCCACCACGCCTGGCCCAAAACTTCATCCTTATAGGATTCATGTGAGAACTACATGTGATCGCATGGGATAAATTAAGGGATTTGTTGTTTCTAAACACCTCTTGAGTCTGGTACTTCCCTTGGTTAACTAAACCTATTGAGTTTGGCACCTCCTTGGTTAATGAAAACAACGTGGAAAATAAGTAAGAATTGGAGACAGAATGGATTGCTTACCCCTTGGAGACTGGAGTCTCAGTATTTGGGAGATCTGTAAAATGGGCTGAATAAAAATGAAGGGAGGGGAAAAAGCATCAACCATTCCCAAGGCTGGCAGTGGTTAGAAATGTTAGCAAGCAACAACAGGCAATAAGGAATGAGCAAGTGTTGACACAACCTTTACAGCCAGGCAAAGGATCTTACATGGCCACAAGGGGCAGCAGGAATCTCTAAAAAATTCTGAGCCCGGCAGGTATGGAAAAGAAAACGGTAGGCATTTGAGAAAGTGGGGATTTTACAAAGTACTACTAGCTTGGAGGAGGCAGAATATGAAGAAGCAAGAAAAACACCAAAAGCACAATGTAGCAAAAGCCTATACCCAAAGCCTATACCCAGGTCAGACGTGATTCTAAATTGAAGAATGTCCAAAACAAGTAGTCTGTTTATACCAGTGGGTGAGAAGCCTAATTAACCGCTCAACCAAAGGGCTAGAGATTGTGAGTGTGATGGGACTGAGAGGATCTTACCAAATCAACTAGCTTCACAACCATCACTGCAATGAAATGTCTGCTCACGCCTGTAATCCTAGCACTCTGGGAGTCTGAGATGGGAGGATTGCTCAAGGTCAGGAGTTTGAAACCAGTCTGAGCAATAGCAAGACCCCCGTCTCTACTAGAAATAGAAAGAAATTAATTGGCCAACTGATATATATATATAAAAAAATTAGCTGGGCATGGTGGCACATGCCTGTAGTCCCAGATACTTGGGAGGCTGAGGCAGTAGGATCTCTTGAGCCCAGGAGTTTGAGGTTGCTGTGAGCTAGGCTGATGCCACGGCACTCTAGCCCGGGCAACAAAGTGAAACTGTCTTAAAAAAAAAAAGAAAGAATGAAATGTCTGCTCCACACGGCAACTTCAACGAATCCTTTTTGAACCCCGAAGTCCTCCCTCACCATCACTAGATGGCGCCATGAACACAGCAAAGGACCCTGTGGTGCCCGGCAACCAGAGACTATCTGAAATGGACCTTTTCCCTGACTTCCTACCTCCCTTGGGAGGGCTTTGGGTCCCTCCTTTCAATGTATTTTGCTGTCAATACAGTAGTTTCTGAACCTTTGAGATCCCTGAAACAAAGGATAGGAAGGAGACACCCAGAAAAAACCCTATAAGGGAGTATGGGTTTGGCTGGCCTACAATCTGAGGCCAGATGGGGACCCCAGCCTGCCTGGACCCTGAGGGGAAGCAGAGGGACCCGGCTCCCAACACACCACACAGAGACCCCCCACATCCCCCTGCAGCCCCACTTTCCCAGCCACTCACTGCCTGGTCTGCTCCCGGTTGGAGTAAGTGACATTCACCACTGCAGTCTCACTCTCGGTGTTCACTGAGGAGAAAACAGAGGCCGGTGTCAGAGCAAAAAAATCTGCAGGCCCCAGGATCCAATCCCAACCCAAGCCTTCCATGTTCTGAGGTGAGTAAGGCATAAAACTTATGAAATACTAGAATGAAGAGGCAAAAATATATTTTCCCTTGACTGGGCGTGGTGGCTCACACCTATAATCCCAGCACTCTGGGAAGGCTGAGGTGGGAGGATGGTTTAAGCTCAGGAGTTTGAGGTTGCTGTGAGCTAGGTTGAAAATTCAAATTAATCTTCTTGCATTTTCTTTTGGTTTCCTCACTCTGCTCCAAGGGAGTGGGTGTGTGAAAGGGTGTAGCTACGGTATCAGCAGTTGTACCTGCAAGGCAAGTGCCACCACCCACCTCCACACACACACACACACCAACTTGGGAGTCAATTTCCCAGTAGAAAGTTAAACTAGTGAAGGCTGGGCGAGGCTCACGCCTGTAATCCTAGCACTCTGGGAGGCCGAGGCTGGTGTATTGCTTGAGGTCAGGAGTTCGAAACCAACCTGAGCAAGAGCGAGACCCCTGTCTCTACTATAAATAGAAAGAAATTAATTGGCCAACTAATACATATAGAAAAAATTAGCCGGGCATGGTGGCGCATGCCTGAAGTCCCAGCTACTCGGGAGGCTGAGGCAGCAGGATTGCCTGAGCCCAGGAGTTTGAGGTTGCTGTGAGCTAGGCTGACGCCATGCCACTCACTCTAGCCTGCGCAACAAAGCAAGATTCTGTCTCAAAAAAAAAAAAATAAGAAAGTTAAACTAGTGAAAAATCAATACACAGTGAGATTAGCAATTTGAAGAAGCAAACATCTCAAGAAATGATCTAGGCCAGGCGCGGTGGCTCACGCCTATAAGCCTAGCACTCTGGGAGGCCGAGGCGGGCGGATTGCTCGAGGTCAGGAGTTCAAAACCAGCCTGAGCAAGAGCGAGACCCCGTCTCTACTATAAATAGGAAGAAATTAATTGGCCAAGTATACATATAGAAAAATTAGCCCGGGCATGGTGGCGCATGCCTGTAGTCCCAGCTACTCGGGAGGCTGAGGCAGGAGGATTGCTTGAGCCCAGGAGTTTGAGGTTGCTGTGAGCTAGGCTGACGCCATGGCACTCACTCTAGCCAGGGCAACAGAGTGAGACTCTGTTCAAAAAAAAAAAAAAAAAAAAGATCTGCAAAGATACGGCTAAAACCCAAAAATCCATTCTAGAGGCCTTTATATCCTCAAGGACACAGTGTATTAACCCAGCCAAATGGATTGACAGGAGTGGCTGTTGTGGGGTCTAGAAGGAAAAATAAAAGAATCTATCTGCATCTTTTCCAGGAAAAAGGATTTTCTGCCCTTCAGTATTCCAAAAATCTTGGCAGTGAACATGAACACACTAGGCCACCATAGCTTCGGGATACTAGCCATTAATCCTATCAAATTCCTAGTTCTAACTACCAGTGTTTCCCCGAAAATAAGGCAGGGTCTTATATTTATTTTTCCTTAAGAAGACACCCTAGGGCTTATTTTTAGGGGATGTGTCATTTTTTTTAAGTACGGTACAACAATCTATGTTTATTCAAATATAGTTGTCTTCTTCTGGAACATCATATCATCATAGCTCTCAAAACCCCGAATTCCATCCTGGATTTCTTGCAACTCTATTTCCTTTAGAGCCATTGGCCCCAATCTCTCATGTCGAGCAATAGAGCTCTCATGGGGCAGATGAGAAGGGCTGCTCGTCTTCTTTACCGCTCCGCAACGAAATGCATGGGTTGTGCAGATATGCTGCGTAGCCACGCCCGTCACTAGGTCTTATTTTCGGGGTAGGGCTTATATTGCACAAATACTTAGAAACCCTGCAAGGGCTTATTTTATGGGTAGGTCTTATTTTCGGGGAAACATGAAATGAGCATCTTTTAGTTTTCATCTGATTCCTCATCTACTCTTTCCTACAGAGAGGAGAATGGGGTGCCAAAGCTTACATTAGCATTCCAAGCAATCTGGGCAAATATTTTACACTTCCAATTATAAATTAACCTTTTCAGGCCAGGGGTGGTGGTTCACGCCTGTAATCCTAGCACTCTGGGAGGCCAAGGCAGGCGGATCATTTGAGCTCTGGAGTTTAAGACCAGCCTGAAGAAGAGCAAGACCTTGTCTCTACTAAAAACAGAAAAATTAGCTGGGCATCATGGTGTGTGCCTGTAGTCCCAGCAACTTGGAAGGCTGAGACAGGAGGATCCCTTGAGCCCAGGAGTTTGAGTCTGCAGTGAGCTATGATGACGCCACTGCACTCTACACAGGATTACCGAGAGAGACACTGTCTCAAAAAAAATAAATAAATAAAATAACCTCTCTTATGAATCAATGTATTGTGAAGCAGGGTCCCCTGAGCTTGCTCAACCTTGGGACACAAGCCTCTTCTCCCACAACACTGAGGACAGATAAGACACTAGGTCACAAAACTTCAGTGCAGACCACTCTTCACCCCTCAGGCCTGCCCACCTTAGTGAGGAGGAAGGTCCTGCAAGAACAATCTTCCAGTAACTGGAAATACAGTAATAAACCAACAAGACCTCTGCCCTCCTGGAGCGTGTGTCCCAGTAGAGGGAGACAACAATAAGCATAATAAATAAGCAAATTCTATAGAACATTTGACAGTGATAAGTGTCATGGAGAAAATATACATCAGGCTAAAGAGGATGGTGCGGGGGCAATTTTAAATACGATAGATCTCACTTAGTGACATCTAAACAGACTCAAGGACTTTCTTTATTGTCTGACAAAGTCAAACATTTCCCATACTATTCTCTCCAGGGAGCAGATACCCTTCCAAATACAGCTCCCCACCTCCCCAGTGAGCCTTGGATAAATTGAAACTAGTGTTGACTCCTGCTGCAGTTCTCAGTGAAGCTCAGCATGCACTTGCTCCCAAGCCACTGCTCAATCTTACTCTCTATTTGCCCAGGAGTAACTTATTCATTAGTCTAAGCTGTGAATAGTACTGGGCAATGGTTATCAGTGGGTCCATTTGTGTCCTGGTATTTATGATAACAGACAAGCTACAGGATTACGGCAGGTTAGAACCTGTTTGATAGATTCAGCACTTTACCTTTGGGTAGGTGAAGACTCTCATCATTTATAATCACTTATAGCTTGCCTCTTTCCACAAAGAATTTGAAGATGAATATTTAAATCTCAAAGAAAGTGAGATTTCGTGAGATCTCCAAATCTCAACCAGTATCATGTCTACCTAAAGACGAACTTATGTCCCACCAAAACCACTCGGTAGGTCCAGGCACGTTGGCTCATGCCTGTAATCCTAGCACTCTGGGAGGCTGAGGCGGGTGGATCATTTGAGTTCAGGAGTTCAAGACCAGCTTGAGCAAGAACGAGACCCCGTCTCTACCAAAAATAGAATGAAGTTAATTGGACAGCTAAAAATATATAGAAAAAAAAATTAGCCGGGCATGGTGACGCATGCCTATAGTCTTAGCTACTCGGGAGGCTGAGGCAGAAGGATTGTTTGAGCCAAGGAGTTTGAGGTTGCTGTGAGCTAGACTGACACCATGGCACTCTAGCCTGGGCAACAAAGTGAGACTCAGTCTCAAAAAAAAAAAAAAAAAACAAAACACTCCATATTTGATTGAAGCTCAGTTCCACAGAAAAGAATTTATAATCCTCATAATGGAGAAACCTCCAAAAAAAGAGAAGACTTTTTATGACCTAGAATTCCTTATTATTTTTCCTTCTGTGGGCCCACTCTTCATTGATTTTGCCTACCCATCAAACTATATTAACTAAGTAATAAATCCTGTGCTTTTCATTTTAATTGACCAAAGACATAGGTAGCTGCCAATCAGAGCTTCTAAGAAGAAAGAAATGACCAGTTGACCATTCCAGCCAAAAACAAGAAATATGAAGCTTTTAAAGTAAAAGGGCTAGACTTCCTGGGGTTGAATGTGCAGCATCTATTCTTAAAACTATTCCTAAAATCTTGGCCGGGCGCGGTGGCTCACGCCTGTAATCCTAACACTCTGGGAGGCTGAGGCAAGCAGATTGCTCGAGGTCAGGAGTTTGAAACCAGCCTGAGCAAGAGCGAGACCTCATCTCTACTATAAATAGAAAGGAATTCATTGGCCAACTAATATATATAGAAAAAAATTAGCCGGGCATGGTGGTGCATGCCTGTAGTCCCAGCTACTTGGGAGGCTGAGGCAGGAGGATCGCTTGAGCCCAGGAGTTCGAGGTTGCTGTGAGCTAGGCTGATGCCACGGCACTCACTCTAGTCTGAGCAACAGAGCGAGACTCTGTCTGAAAAAAATAAAATAAAAATCTTGGGGCATCCATTTCTACCTTGGTTGATCCCTAAGAGCCTAGAGATTCCATGTTGGGAAGGAATGACTTTGTTCAAGCCTCCCGCTAAACAGAAGAGAAACCTGGTTCCAGTGCCAAGCAGCAGAGCCAAAGCCAAGGACAGGTGTCCCGGCTCTAAGGCCAATGTACCTCCCTCTGTAACACACTCTTAACTTTCTCCTTCTTTCGATCTCCAGGTAGATTCGATCATGGAAAGTAAAGCAGAGCAGGTCCCCCAAATGCCCCGTCGCCCGGCCCACAGCCCACTCTTACCTTGCTCGCAGCTCTCTACTGTACCATACTGAGCCAGTAGGCTGTCCAGGACCTGGAAGCACGGAGGAAGGAGGAAAGGTACTCTGAGCATCCCAGGAGTGTCGCAAAGTAGCCACTGGACACCCCATACCCCAAAGCAGTGGGCACCAGCAGAGCCATAAGTGGGTGCTGAGCATGTTACCTGTTCAGTTTGCCCTTTCAGAGGTACTAACGCTGAGGAGGTAACTGGAATGTACTTGAGCTATGTGCATTAAGGGCTTTTGGGAAAGCAGAACTGGGCTACCTGGGTTCTAGATCAACTTCTGCTGTCACCAAGTTTAGGGCTCAAGGAACACCCTTCACACCTCCCTAATGCCTCTTACCACTAGGACATCCCAAAAGCTGGAGTTCTGGGTTAAAGGTGTGACCCAGTGGGGACATTCTAATCCAGACCAGGACCTCCCCAGCCATTTCTGCCAACTCAGGCTGCTCCAGACTTCCTTCCTAGGCTCCACTACCCAACCCCATTGAGTTTCCCTCAAACTTACTTCCCATCGGAGCTGGGGTGGAATATTTCGGATCTGAATTTTCCGACTCCTGAAATTAAAGAGGGAACAGAGTTAGAGAAAGGTCTGGATGCTTCAGATCCTATGACCTTACAGTTTCTAATCCTTGTCTCAGTTTCTTTCTCCCTACCTTCTGTTCACCAATACTACAGTCTTAGAATCTAAGAATGGTAACCTCTTAGGAATGGAGTAGGGATGCCTTGCTTAAGAGACCAAAATTATTATCAGTGCTACCACAGACAAGAATGCAGAATCAGATGCAGCAAGCATCCAGGTAACATAAATCCCTAAAAAAAAAAAGAAAAAAAATCACAGCTGTTTTTGTTTGTCTCACTATTTTTTCTCTCATTCCTTTATTCAGCAAGCATGTTACCACCACTCTGTTCCAGGCACTAGAAATACAAGCTAAGTAAAACATAATTAATGACTAATTAACAACAATTTAGTTGGTATCTACTTCACGCAATACTTTGTTTCACACGCTGGAAACACAGCAATCAACAAAACTGACAAAATGCCTGGCCTCGAGGTGCTCAGTTTATTAGTGAAGACGTCATATGCAAACAAAGTACAGCAGGATGACAGTGCAGGGAGCAAGCCCTTGGCACAGGTATGGATTTCAACCTATGTTCCACTTACCAGCACTGATCTTAAAAGATTATTTAATTTCTTTGAGGCTGAGTTTCCTCCTTCGTAGAACAGAGAAATTATCTATTCACAAAGTGGTAGGTGATGTTAGGAAATATTTATAAAGAGTTTAGCAAAAGGCTTGGACTCAATACTTCAACTGTAAGAATAGATGCATCTGTAATACACTGGTGGGTGGGACTGAGTAATGAGTGATAAACAGGGCACACAACTCAGCGTAGTAACCACCACCTCTCCCCATCCCAGTTAACTATATATACTTTCTTTCTTACCTTTTCCCATCTTTTCCCATTTTAAAATGCCTCTTCAAAGTGTACTTTTCCCTGAGGAAGGCTTTCACGTTCAGGGTTGACTCCTGGGGCAATTGCTCATCTCCCAAATCAATGCCCAAATCCCTGGGTTTTAAGACCTTTAAATTGACTTAATGTGTTGTTGGTCAATTGTCATTGATGTCTTTGTATATCCTTAATCACAAACCCTTAGTTCAAGGAGAAGGTCCAAGAAATTCTAGTGGCTTGAAGGAAAGCTGAACTAGTAAGTAAATTAACCTGCCCCAAATTAAGCCACTTAAGATTCAGGCCCCAGTATTCCTACCTGGTAAGCAGCGGGGACTGTGCCAGCTCAGGCCAAGCTGGGGGGAGGGGGGCGTCAAAACACAAGGGACCAAGAAAAAGGGATGCTAAAGTTCTAGCTGTGTGTCACTCTTGGCTGTCCTGGGCCAGTTCACTCACTTCACCCCTCAAATGTCTCCAGCTGTAAAATGGAATCAGCAGGGTCTCTACGATCCATCCTAGTTTGGCAATTCTGAGTGTGGAGAGTCTTTATCCATAAAACATGGTAAGGAAATCTCTTCCTGGGATGAAATAACTTGGAGAAGAGAGAGGATAAGTGTTTAAGAGAATCTTTGTGCCTGTCTTCTTTGGTCTGTCCACCAATTTGACCTAAGGAGGTCAGATTATAGCAGGAGGAAATAGTATGGACCAGAAACCAGTCCAGATCCAGGTCCTCACATCCTGCCAGGCCACTTTTTTGTGATTCCATTCATTGGCCACGAGGGAGCACCACATCTGCCTTTGTGAGTGATTCCTCACACAACTCATTTGGTGACCAAATGGACAGACTGAAAGTGTAAGAACCCTCACAATAAAAGCCAAACTGCTGGAGAGTTGGGGGGAGGAAATGATCACACCATTGGAAGATTAAGAACACTGACCTAGCTTAACACCCCTAACAGGTATTGCCCGCCCACAGTGAGCACTTCAGCATGAGGGGCAGGGCGGTGAGGGCTGCCTGACTGGGAGTTCAAACCAATAAGGGCATACATCAACCCAGTAGTTTAGCCGCCCAGTTTGAAGTGTGCTCTTTCAAGATGGTCCCTTAGTGTAATCTAAGGTCAAAGGTCAAAAATTCCCGCTTGCTTCAAACTCCCAGTTTTAGGGACTTTCTTTTCATTGAGGGTGGAGAAGGGAGGGAGAGAGGGGTGGCAATGGTGAAATCAAATCTCTGCTGGGATGTTAATCCATATCCTGAAAGCAATGGCAGGCAGATCGTCTGGAATGTCTGGAATGTTCCAGGAGAGGGAGGGGGGAGGGGGCAGGGCCACCCAACCAATGAAAGAAAAGACATCCTGGCAGCCCTCCCCCACCCCCAACCAGCAGAGACTCACCCAGCCCTCCAGGGCACACACCCCACCCTGGGAACCCACTCCAGGCCCCTCCAGGCCTCCTTCCGGCAAAGCCCCCAGCCCTGATTAAAACACAACAGGCAGGGCAGGGAGGCACAGAGGCCAAGAAGAACCTTTGTCTTTTAAGCCCTTGGCCTGGTTTCCATTAAGTTATGGTGCTACCTAATTTCTTTCAGGCCCAAAGCACATGGGGCATTGCTGAGAACTGTAACCCGCATTCCCTTCTATAGGTCTGCAATCCCTTTCCTAGGTCTCCTGTCTCATTCATTCCACAGACACAGAGAGAGAAGGCCCATGTGGGCTGGGCCAGAGTGGCTGAGGACTTGGGAGGATCCAGTGGGAAGCTAAGAGCCCCCTGGTTGGCTACTTCCTCGCTCTGTGCCTTAGTTACCTCCTGTGGAACTTGGATGAAGCTTTTGTGAGGTCTTAAAAGATAAGACTCGAGAGGCAGGGTGCCGTCAGGTAGTAAGCGCTCAATCCATGACCCAGTCCCTGGAGGCTGCAGGTGTCCAGACCAGCACACAAACAGGCAGACAGGCAGAGCTGACAATGAGCCGCTTAGCAGGATGGTAAGAGTTGTTAAAGTATTTAAAGACTTCAGCACTGAAAGGCAAATAGTGGGAACTACCACTGCCTACAGTCCAGTCCAGTAGACCAGCTCCTACCAGGGTTGAGCAGTGTCTTTGCTCTACAGGTAATAGGGCAATAGCCCCTGAGCCCTTTCTATATTCCTTGCATGCCTAAACCAACAGCCATTGTTCAGAAAAGGAAGGAGAGCTCCCAGAGTTCATTAACTCTCCTCACCTTCCTGTAGCTGATAAACCTGTTTATTGAAAGAATCAAGCTGCCAGCCCCTGGCAATAATGGCAATGGTTGCACTAGCCTGGTTATTTCCCTGGGTGCCAACACACTGTGGCTTCTGGTGCCCTCAGCCTGCCCCGAGCCACAGAGTAGTTATCAGGCCTAACACTGCCAGGCCAAACAGAGGGCATGAGTCCACAGGGCCTGAGTGACCATCCTTTTGAAAACCCAGGGGAGATTCAGGAGAGGGTAGAGAAAGCATCCTTGCCACAGCCTAAGGGGCTAAGTAGGAAGTAAGAGATTTAGGAAGCACAGACAGGGAGCTGGGCCAGGGACAAGGCTGGGATCTCTCCCTGGGCTGGGAGCTCTTCCATCCTTTCACACTCAAGAGTTCAGAGAATTGTCACTGACTTAGACTGCAGGGGAAGGAAACCAGGTCACAATAGGAAGGAGTCTAACTTTACAGGAAGGGAACATTCAGGGAATAAATACTCCAGCAGTGCCTACCAGATGCCAGGCTCTGAGATTCATCATCTCATATAACCCTCCCATCACCCATGAAGGTGGCATGTGGGCTGTTTTACAGACCAGGGCCCTGAGGTTGAGCCACTAACAGCAGGAGCCAGTATTTGAACCTAATGTCTGTCTGATCCCAGGCTCTTTGCACTGTCCCTGTACTGCCTTTTTTGATGTCATAAAGGAAACAAAAAGCCTTTGCCAAAGTACTCTCATGTTAGGCAGGAGGACAAAACGAAAATATGAAGAGTTCACACAACACAGTGAACAGTGGGCCAGCCACATGGGTATTGCTATCCAATAAGTCAAAACATCCCGCCTGTAATTCTTTAAGATATTAACTTATTTTTGCAGCTGCACATTTCCAGTTACTTGAACAGTGATCTTATGGCATACTGAACACAGATTAGATATTTGGGGGTTTTTTGTTGTTGTTGTTTGAGACAGAGTCTCACTCTGTTACTCAGGCTAGAGTGCCAATGGCATCAGCCTAGCTCACAGCAACCCCAAACTCTTGGGCTTAAGCGATCCTTCTGCCTTAGCCTCCTGAGTAGCTGGAACTACAGGCATGTGCCACCATGCTCGGCTAATTTTTCTATATATTTTTAGTTGTCCAATTAATTTCTTTCTATTTTTAGTAAAGACGGGGTCTCACTCTTGCTCAGGCTGGTCTCAAACTCCTGACCTTGAGTAATCCTCCCGCCTTGGCCTCTCAGAGTGCTAGGATTACAGGAGTGAGCCACCACGCCCGGCCCAATTAGATATTTGATGACATCAAGCCATTATCATTTGGCCGGCAGTGGCTCACTCCTGTAATCCTAGCACTCTGAGAGGCCCAGGCGGGCTGATCGTTTGAGCTCAGGAGTTCGAGACCAACCTGAGCAAGTGCGAGACCCCGTCTCCACTAAAAATAGAAAGAAATTAATTGGACAACTAAAAATATATAGAAAAAATTAGTTGGTCATGGTGGTGCATGTCTGTAGTCCCAGCTACTCGGGAAGCCAAGGCAGGAAGATCACTTGAGCCCTGGAGTTTGAGGTTGTTGTGAGCTAGGCTGACACCATGGCACTCTAGCCCAGGCAACAGAGTGAGAATCTGTCTCAAAAAAAAGACGTTATCTTTTAAAATCATATTGTGATTTGTAAAGTTCTTATATTTTAGAAATACATACTGAAATAGTTAAAAATAAAATGACATGTCTAGGATTTGCTTCAAAATAATCAGGGGGTGGGGAAAAAATGAAAACATATTGGATTAATTGGTAATTGTTAGAGCTAAATGATGGGTGGTACGTACAGGGTTTCTTACATTATCCTTTTTACTTCTATATGTTTATATTTCTTTCCATAATAAAAAGGTAAAAACAAAATACAGGTAATTCT